AAAACGGAAGCAAGTACTCTATGCTTTTATGCGTACATTTGACCAAGCGATGTCATGTGATGACGTTACCGTGTGACGTCAGGTTGTGTGACGTCGTAATGACGTCACACTTTTTCGCCATTGCCGACGTTATGATGCCGTGATCTGCGATCGCACGATAGTTTTGGGGCGGTTTCGTGTTGGCGCCGACGTTCGCTCTCCGCGCATCACGAGGGGCCTTCGCCTGTATCAATTACAAGTAACGCTGCCTAAAGCTTCACGACTGTATAGTCGATAATCCAGCGTATAGTACAGATTATTGCATTCCGGGAGTCAATTATCTCCGCAGGCCGACAAATGATGGCCCTCAGGGGTACTTCGGACTCTTACGCGGACTCTAACGGTGAGCGGTCAAACTCGGCGAACAACGGACTTAACGAGACTGGAAACAACGTACTAAGGTCACGAGGCTTCGCAGAAGAAAACGAAGTAGTCGCGCGACAACGCATTATGAGTTGTCTTGCCCGCCCGCCACCGTGCAATACCGCTTCTAGGACGTCCTTTGACTGGCGATAGCCCGCGGTCCGCCTTGAGCTAGACTGCACGGATTTGGCGAGCCTGTAGGTTTGCGCGGCGCGGGGCCCGCGGATTGTTATAGCCGAAGGCGTTGCTGTGCCTGGCAATTGTGTGTTTTGATAGGCGTCTGGAAGTGCAAAGAGTCGTAACCCGAAAAAAAAAGAAAGAAAGAAAGAAAATAGCCGTATTTCTTCGTCGGACGGCAATGAATGTCTGACGACGGTGCTTTGGCGATCGTTCCCACACACACACACAGGCAGGCACAGAAATACGCTCCAGCAGCAGCTGCTTGCCACAGCCTTCGAGCTTTATGCGGGCGTCTCTAGCGGTGCGCTCTATGCGAGACACAAAATAAAAAAAAATGAGGGATGGGCCCCGCGAGGGCGCGCGGGAGGATCCATTGACGTCATCGAAACGAGGCCAGTCGGGTTTCTTTCCGTGCCTCTCTGTTTCTCGCGAAGAGACCCGAACGAGAACAAGAGAACGCTTTGTCCCTGCAACCTCGAGGCCCGTACGTCTTGCTTTTAAGTATGCAGCGGTGGAGACCCGTTGAACTTGAGTACATAAGCGCTATGGCTTTATCGCCGGATAACTTACAAGGTTGCTCTTTTTCCGGCAACGGAATCACGCGCTGCTATAGCTGCCCGGACCCGAAGGCCAATTGTGTAGGCGAAGGCTCTTGCGCGTGTTTGTCCCTGCGAGCACGTCGCTTTTCATTGATCTGCACGTGCATTGGGGCGATAGACTTCTGTCGAAGGAAGTGATTGTGGGGTTATGGAAGAACAACTACTCAACAGAAGCGCTCTCGGCACGTGCAATGTATAGAGTGACCTCGGTCCCATTTCCACGGGCTTTATAGATTCGTGCTTATTGTAACACTGACGTGCGCAGAACATGTACGCATATCGCCCATCATGCATTGCTGTTTCGGACTTAGCCAGGGGGAAGGTCCGACCCCCCCTGAGATGTATGTTCGTGCGTGCGTTTTTGTTTTCGTGTATACATATACGCAAAATTAAAAAAAAGCACTGCGGTTGTGAAGGGGGGGCGTATTCAAGAAAAGGGGTGCGAGAATGAACCTCCCAAATTTCTCACCTTTATGGGTAAACCACTGCTGATTGCTCACTCTCATTTTCATGCTCACTCTCTCACTCTGCTCCATCTTCTTTCTTTTCCGGAAGGAGAGTAGCAGTCGACCGACAAAGCAGTTACTGCCACAAGAAGATTTTTTTTCTCGGATTAAAAGGTACTCATATGTGCAGCTGCACAGCTCGTGTTCCTTACTACGTACGACTGGACGACTCTTGTATATCTTGCTGCTTCGCGTCCGTATGAATAGTTTGCACGTGACGTCATTTATGCAGATTTATAACGTAGTGGTTCACCAAGATGGCGTCTTTGATGACGTAAAGACCGCATAATCGGATTGCGCTTAGCCTGCTTCAATATTGATAATTATACGGCAACACCGCAAAAGGCCTCTTTCAGCAAACCACACAAAAGTAAAAAGTGATACCCCCCCCCCCCCCCCCAACATTATTGCGACGTCATCGAATTTGCGTCCTATACCATGCTAACGTGGTTGCTTGGGCGAGTTGGTACGACATGGTTCACTTAAAAAACAGCGCCAATAACGAGGGACAAGATAAAGAAGGAGACAGACAGCGGCACTGTCTGTCTCCTTCTTTCTCTTGTCCCTCGTTATTGGCGCTGTTTTTTAAGTGAACCTATACCATGCAATGCACCAAAATGGCGGCTTCACTGATATCAGCGCAAGACATAGTGGTGGAAAGTCTTGGTGGAAGAACTTGTTAAGTGATCTACGGCTGCCAGATCAGTTCCTAAACTGCGCTTGATATGTCTTCTCCGTATCAAGTTACGAGACGGAACTGAATAGCAACCCACAGCTGCCAGAGATGCAGTGCCAGTGTGAATTTTTACCCTAAGCAAGCTCTTCCAATGAAACCAAACACTTGAAAAGCGCACGTGAATTTAACGCGCATGGATTGAGCTTCATTCCTAAACTTACCTTCAGCATTGTGCTGTGCGATACCAAATGAACTTCACATTCGCTTTGCACGTGGTAACATGCAGTGTTTGGATAAAGTGTTCAGACAATATGTGTAAAAGAGAAGCAAGCAACAGTGTTAACTCGAGGCAGCGCTGTCTGTGAGTTTCGATGGCTGATGGCAATATCGATGATAAGGACATAGCACGGAGTAGTAGTCGACTGGTGTATCTCTCTGGGCGGAGCGAAAGTAAAAGCCAAACTCTCAATCACCACAAGAAGTTACACCATATTCCGCTAAAGGGGACCATGAGGCGATGATAAGTAGCACGGGGAGCGCACACCACATTTGGATCAGTCTATCTAAGTGGTTATGAAAAGGATAAGAAGAAGAAAGTGCCGCTGTCTATCTTTACGATAGCACATGAACAGTTTGGCACAGGGATGGGGTATGTGGGAATAAAAAGAGATAGGTAAGAAATAGGAAGACAAAAAGCAAGAGAGAAAAAAATTGGCCCCGTATCTGCATGTTAATCTGCAGATATCGTCGAAAGACGATAGTCTTGCGTGTAGAGAGAATCAACAAAACATTGATTTGATGTTCTGTGCAAGATAATCGGTGAATGGTACTCTAGAGGCGCTGCGTTAGAGTGCCTCGAGCGTGCAGCGGAGGCGAACGAGCGCATCAAGTCACGTCACACGTGACACATGCGCGACATCTGGCAGTTTTCTTGAAAAACGAAGCACGTGGCTCCGAGACGGGTGTGCGCGCCCGCCTCAGAGGTGATAAGGTGTAGGACGCAAGGCGACGGGTAGGTGCCACCACCGTCTCGTCTTAGCAAAGCGTTGGAAAGACTCGCCTTTTCATGCAAGCGTTGCATGGTCAGCGCAGCGTGATAAGCGCTAAGGTCGTTAAGATTACTTATGTATGCCTTTTCTAGTAAAAGACGCACATGCAGAATATATACGTGTTGTTATGGTGCCCCAGACATGCGCAATAATTGCTTTTTAAATAACAATTGCAGCACGTATGAACGCTAAATCTTGAGCAACGTTGGTGGGCGCTGCGCATGGGGTCGGACCGTTTCAAGTACCCGGTGCCGTTAAAGGTGGACAAACAGACAGACAGACAGACAGACAGACAGACAGACAGACCAAATTTTTTGCGTCGAAGGTCCCCGAGAAAGACTATCGTCTTTAAGAAAGTCTCATTCGATCCGCCCCGCGAAGCAACTAATGCTGAGAGAGTTAAGGGGGGGGGGGGGGAGGCCACAGCCTCTTACACAGCCACTTACGCAGGGCCGAACGTGCTAGCGTGGGCTAGCGCGTTCTGCCTAGGATACAACGCGTTGGTCCATCCCGCGTCTGCAGCATTTTAGATGCGGAGCATCTTATACTCGCGCCTTGTAGTGCGCCGTCCGCGCCGTCCGCACCGCTTCTCGAACATTCGACAGCTGACGCGCGCGCATGCGCCGTCGCGCCGTCGCCCACTCTTCCACCATCTGTGCATCCCTTCCTCCTCTACACACCGCGCGTGCTTCACTCCTCCACCATCTGTGCACCCTTCCTCCTCTACACACCGCGTTCGACATCTACAATTCTCCTGATTCTCCAGTGGACGCGCATGTGGCGTCGCGCTTCGAGAACATTCAACAGCTGACAGTGCATGCGCCGTCGAGCTGTATATATACTCAAGGTCGGCGCTCGCTCGCTCAGTTGCCGCTCGTCGGTTGGTTTGTACGGCGCGTCGACGTCCAAGGTCGCGGTGAAATGAATTCCAACGAATCCACAAACACAATGATCGACGTCCCTTCGACCAGCGCCGCCCTTTCGCATACGTGTGTACGTGTTCACTCATTTAACACCCCCTCCTACAACCACGTTAACCAATTTAGCCATCGACCCAAGTAAGTCGCAATTTAACACCCCATTTCACAACCACGTTAACCAATTTAGCCATCGACCCAAGTAAGTCGCACTTTAACACCCCGTTAACCAATTATATGCTCCGCATCCTCCTCAGTGTTCCCCCGAGGGGAAACTGCGGGCAATTTTTTGTTCCCCGACGCCATCGCATGATTGCCGAGAAAGTGTACGGGGGAAAGGCCACAGTGTTTTCTCAGCCCCGTACACGGGTCGGAACGCACTATAGCGCGTGAGCACGTTCTGGTAGTGCTCAGGGCAGCTGTTGCACATGCTCAGTAAGTGTGGTCACGCCGCACACCGATTAAACTCCGCATCCTATGGCGGAGTTTGATCGGTGTGCGGCGTGACACAAAAAAGGAGTTTAGCCACCTACATTTTATATTTCTTTCGACTGCAGTGGCCGAGGCGGTCAACTGTCACGTGCGTCTTCACGAGCGTAATGTGTCGTGCTGTGGATAGACGTGCCTCTTAACACGCCGGTGTTTGACCATTCGTCTGTGCGTGTGTGCAGAGAGGCTGGCGTCGCTGAACCTGAGCGAGCTGAACAGCTCGGACATCAAAGGCGATCGTGGCGCGGCTGGCGGACGCGCGCAGCAAGAATCTCATGGACGAGCACGGACAGGACACGCACACCAACTGGAACTTCTACAACTCCTTCTTCTTCGCCATCACCGTCGTCACCACCATCGGTAAGACGAGTGGACTGCTCTTCTTAACGAAATTCGGTACGTCGAGAGAGATGTATCTACAGTTTCTTTGTCGGATGGTGAAATTAGGCTCTTGCGTGGCTAATTGTAATCTGCAGAGCGTGATAATGCGATGATTGTTGTTGCACACCACGCGAGTGATGAGCGTATTATTTACTTCGTCGAATAATAAAGTTAGTTGTAACCTTGCTCTCGTCCGTGTCTGCCATGACCTTTTAGGGGCGAAGCTCCTTATGGCGTGGCTTGTGCGTCCCTCGTAGTACGTAACCACCAGTGGCACATACCCGAAATAGCGGTCCTTACGATTTTGACCTCCAAGGTGGTTCCGGTGAGAGATTTCTTCTGTGCGTTGTTGAACAATAAAAGATAGTGCTCAATGCACATGTTAATGGCTGCTAAGGGGGAATGAGAGCCAGGAGCATTCGGCCTTTAGGTGACGCGCACGCTGCGATTCCCATTAGCAGCTATTGACATGTACATTGAGCACGATCTGACAAGAAAGGGTTGCTACGTTATACTCGCTGGGTGTAAGCTCCTTGGTTTTAGAAAGGTTTAGCGAGCGTTGGGCCGCATAGCCATGAATACAGTGAACTAGTATATACCATGAACTCGAGGTGGTTAAATGTGGGAAGTAAACCCGAAGCGCAAGCCGTAAGAAAGTGTGCATGTGCCACCTCCCGTTTAGTCCTTGAAATGTCCGCTGGATGGCGGTGCTTCTATATGGAGAATATATGATGAAAAGATGCGAGATGGTGGTACTTGGAGTGCTGAATAGATGGACGAAAGGACACACAGACAGATGCATGGATGGACGCATGAACGGACGCAGGCGCGGATGCATGGACGAACGCAGGGACGGACGCACGAACAGACGCACGCACGGACGGGTGGATGGACGCATGGACGGTTACACAGACGTACGCTGGAACGGACGGAAGCAAGAACGAATGGACGGACGAATGCTTCGCCCCCCTCCCCATCATTCACTACGTGGATATGCTGCCATTTTTTTTTAAGTGCGAAACCATAGTTATACCTACCGAGAGATTTGTCTATTGAAACTAAATCACAGTGGAGCGAACTAGAACAAAACAAATGGTGGAAGTTAAACTGTCGCAAATCTAATTATCGTGAGTTCAGCGTGTGTTTTGCTTGGTCTTTGATGACAATAAACCAGCAATGGCTGCGGTATTTTTAATCTTTGTACGCTTCCGCGCTCGTTAAGCTTCTCCACAACGCTCCATTGTGGCCTCCCTTTTCTCGGCCGACAATTTAGCTATATCTAACGGATGATGGGATTCGGCTTGTCGCTTGCGTTGACGCCGTACTCGCCTTGCATCGCGCTTGCGATCCGGTGGCTCAAGGTCATAGCGACGCGATGAATGACCTTGATAGACATGGAGTAGCAAGGCTCTGGTTTTAAACATGTATTGATATATCGTACGTTGGAATACAGGAGACAGCCGGTTGCGCGGAGAGCTTAGACACCATAAAATGGAATCGACGCGAAATAACCCCAGTCATAAGTAAACTTAATCGTCCGTAAGCTCCATTTCTGTTGTACACGTTTAGTAGCTGTGCTTTTTAATGCTATCTATCTATCTATCTATCTATCTATCTATCTATCTATCTATCTATCTATCTATCTATCTATCTATCTATCTATCTATCTATCTATCTATCTATCTATCTATCTGCTTACGTCTGGGTGATCTCGTGATCACCCTTTTAACTTTTAATGAACAAAAATTAGTATGGAAGGGTAAGATGGTTCGACGAAAATGACGCGCTAGTCAAGTTACGATTATTGTCACAGTCCCGTCGCGTACGTCGTCAAACACTTGCCGTGGGACAGTGGCACACACTTAGTATCTACCCCGGAACGACGAGAACACACGTGGACAATTCGAACGCGTGAGCGTTAAGAAAAAAAAATGGCAGCATATCCACGGAGTGAATGATGGAGAGTGGGGCGAAGCATTCGTCCGTCCATTCGTTCTTGCTTCCGTCTGTCCATGCGTCCGTCTGTGTGACCATCCATGCGTCCATCCGCCCGTCCGTGCGTGCGTCCGTTCGTGCGTCCGTCCCTGCGTCCGTCCATGCGTTCATCCATGCATCCGACCCTGCGTCCGTTCATGCGTCCATCCATGCAACTGTCTGTGTGTCCGTTCGTCCATGGATCTATTCAACACTCCAATACCACCATCTCGCATCTTTTCATCATATATTCCCAATATAGAAGCACCGCCATCCAGCGGACATTCCAAGGACTAAACGAGAGGTGGCACATGCACACTTTCTTACGGCTTGAGCTAGGGTCTACTTCCCAGATTTAACCACCTCGAGTTCATGGTATATTCACCTTTTCATAAACGCCTCCCTAGGCGCCGCCATAGCCCTCCTTGGGCTGTGCAAATTGGCGCTTCCCCTCGAAAATGCACTGGCAACGCTGCGCCCTTAGCCTTTGTACTCCCGCGCACAGACCATCATGGCGGTGTTTTTTTCCTTCCTGTGAAAAGGTGTATACCAGTTCACTCTATTCATGGCACTGCGGCCCAACGCTCGCTAAACCTTTCTAAAATTAAGGAGGATACACCCAGCGAGTATAACGTAGCAACCCTTTCTTGTCAGATAGTGCTCAATGTACATGCCAATTGCTGCTAATGGGGATGGCAGCGTGCGCGTTAACTAAAAGCCGAATGCTTCTGTCTCTTATTCTTCCTTAGCAGCCATTGGCATGTACATTGAGCACTATTTTTTCTTAGTCAACAACGCACAAAAGAAATCTCTCGCCGGCACCAACTTGGAGGTCAAAATGTTATACTTGTTACACACTACAATGACTACGAGGGACGAACAAGTGCCGCTATAAGAAGCTTCACCCCTAAAACCTGGCATCGGCAGCGTTCATCGGACGAATGCAAAGAATAAATGCCATTGTCCCAGCAGGAATCAAACCCAAGCATTCTGCGTGGTAATAAATCATTCTACCTCAGAGTCACACCAGGTCTTGGAACTACTTTTCAAATAAACCTTAATGTTCGTAAAACGTCAATTGTGCTTTCAGTGCTTGGCTATCCACTTTTACAACAATTACATTGTGCTGCTTGATACAGTCCCGTTGGGTTAACGTCAATTGTAGTTAGGTGCCATGCGCTGTCAGCACGGTCACCTTCCCTGCGCATGCTTCGCATAACGTCAATTTCCAAGGCACGTAGGATCTACCGAATTTTTCTTGTGTGTGCGCTTAGTCGTGACGGTTGCCGGATCAGATCAGTTCCAGGCTCTATGCAAGAGCGCCAGACCCGCAGGCCGTGAAACATTTGCGCGCGTTGCAAAAAGAAAATTTTTAAATCGTGCATTGAGGTGTCTAGATACGTACGTTAAACTGTCTGCTGCCAATTATGTTTTTGTTGCTATTCGAACAATTAGTGCATGGTACTGCCAGATGTTAGCGAAGGCTATGACCTCAGCGCAGGCTCTGTGCGTGAGTTAGACGCTGAAGACTTGAAACACTCGAAAAGCCCAGAGTTTACAGAACCTTGTTTACAGCCCGATGCGACAGGTTACTTGAGCGATGATCATGTTTTTCGAGAAGCTGGCGCACTTCTGGTAGAGATGCGTCTTCACTTGCGTCTGTGTCAACGAGGTATAGCGCCAGCAACGCGAAATGTTTTTCGAAGGTCTTAGCTGTACCTATGTGTACGTGTTATTGCACTCTGCCTCGGTGCTGAATTCCTCAGCAGATGCGGCGATATCATAGAGTACCGTACAGTGAATTTGAGCGGAGTGTCTTCTACGAGGCAGATATATTCCCAAGTTCGGTGGTGATTTGCCGTCTTATTCATACAGTAGCTTGCTATGCGTTCATTTATTTGTAATATTATAGGTGGCCCCGCCAAGGTGGTCTAGTGGCTAAGATACTCGGCTGCTGACCATGCAGGTCGCGAGATCGAATCCCGGCTGCGACGGCTGCATTTCCGATGGGGGCGGAAATGGTGTAGGCCCGTGTGCTCAAAATTGGGTGCACGTTAAGAACACCACGCGGTCGAAATTTCCGGAGCACTCCACTACGGCATCTCTCATAACCATACGGTGGTTTTGGGACGTTAAACCCAACATATCATCATATTATAGGTGAACATAGGCCCTGTACCTTGGAGGACAAAGTTCAGCCCAGTGTAAAGCTACTAAGGTAAAAGAAAGACAAGCAGTAAAGGGGTATACGAAGCAACACAAACGGATCTGATACAGGAATGGCGTTAGTGGTGTCTTGGAAAATAAACACGATAATAACAATTTTTGTCAAACGGATACATTATAGACCAATGCGAGGCAGCCTAATTAAAACATCTGTCACCTCGTTGAAACAAGAGTGGTTGTCTGAATCAGTTGCCGCCCTCGTGGCAGCAATAGTTACAGTGTTGCCATAGACACAACCACTGGATGGACGTGGCCTACTAATAAAAAACTGCCCGCTGACTTATTCGCGACACGTGTGAGGTTTCCTGTGCGGTCAGCCGTGTTGCGAGACTTTGTGTGGGCTGTCATGAAAAAAAAAAAAAAAAAACACGCGAATATCTGAAGAACGCCTTTCATCTCCCCCCATCCCCATCCCCTCTCAAAAAGAAACAAAAAGAAGATCGTGCGGCTTTTCAACATTGCTGGTATAGATGTCGTTTGCCAAACATAGCTTTAGTCAACGAAAAGTTATCTGACTGAAACGTGGGGCCCACACCTCAGTGTGTGACAGCGGTAAAAGGTCATGTTTACCCACTCGCCTTACTGCGTCTCCCAAGCGTCCAATCAAGAGAAATAGAAAGGATAGGAGACAAGCAGGAAAAATAAGCCGAGGTATGCAGGCGAAGGGCACGGAAAGGCGAGCTGTTTGAATGTCAGGCCAGTGACGTTCGACGTCCACTCCTACGTGTGCACAATCTATGTAGACGTAAAGCAACGCCAGATTGTAGAAATTTTCGTGGGCCTTCTCTACAGCACACACTTACAATCATGTTATAGTTTTGGGATGTAAGATACCCCATATTATAGTGGCGAGGAACAGGAAGAACAAGCGTTTCTGCGTCTGTTTCTGCGTGTACGGTCTATATACCTTCGTGTTCTGCTGGGGCTACCTATTGTTTGTTTAAGACGGCACTGACTCACAGTATAGACTCCCTATCACAATAAGTCGTCATACCACATCTACCGGGGTTACTAGAATCGACGGCCTCAGCTTTAAATTTCACTACCGAACGTCGCCAGCTGCATCTAGCGCAACTATTACCGACGCTGAAAACAATCGGCCTGAAGCCACCTTCGATTTCACCACCTGTGTCGTCGTCTAGCGGCAACATGTCCCTCCAGTCTTTAGCTCAGCAGGTGAGACTACTCGAAGACTAACTTTCAATCAATGAACGAGTCAGTGAGCACTACATTCGAGATGAGCCGGTGAAACTGCGTGCCGTTATCTTCTACCTTGCTGATGTTGCGGACAATCGGGCTGCGCAGTGATGAGCGTCAACTGCAAACCTGGTCTGCCTGGTTACGCAGTCATGAGCGTCAATTACAAACATAGCTCACCTGGTTCACAATCATGAGCGCATCAACTACAAACCTGCAGGTCTGCCTATGATTCTGCAGTCATGAGCGTCAACTGCAAACCTGGCCCGGCTGGTTACGCAGTCATGAGCGTCAGCTACTTGCATGGTCCTCATAGTTACGCAATCATGAGCGTCAACTACATACATGGTCCGCCTGGTTACGCAGTCATGAGCGTCAGCTGCAAATGCGGTCCACATGGTTCCGCAATCATGAGCGTCAATTACAAACCTAGTCAGCCTGGTTACGCAGTCATGAGCGTCAACTACAAACATGGTCCGCTTTAAAGAAAACAATAGTCGAAGTCGCTGACCGCCCCATTTTAAGAAAGATTCGTCCCGATCGAACCCATTGCGCAGCAACTGCAGACGCGAAAAGTCTTCTTCCTCTTCCTCACTATATGATTACTATAACTACAAATGCTGCTATAATGGGTTTATATGTGCATATTCTAGACCTTTGTGTATCCTCGGATGTTTCTCGGAAAGCCCTCACTCACGCTTCATGCATCTTCATAAACTCGGCCGCGTTCGTTGCAGCTCGCTATGTGCATCATGAGCCTGGAGGCATACAACGATACGAGCCCGTACACGAGCTGGAACCGTGTCAATTCGGGCAAAATCTTTCGCAACGCATCCCAATGACAGGTGTGTCGAAAGTGCCGTCGGGCCCGCTTGCATAACGCATCGTTCGCGCACGCAGAGTATGACACACACAGACAGCGGCTCGCGCAAGCCGCTCCACTCTTTGAGAAGTGACAGAGTCAGCGCGTCCCGGCGTTGTCTGCGACGAGATCGCTTGACGTGCACCGTTCTCGCGGAGTTCACGGATGGCAACTTCGCGTGCACACCCGGTGGTATACAAACGAAGCGTGCCATGCAGTACCCGGAATGCGCCGAGTGTACTATAATACCTGGCAGTTTACCGTCCCGAAATCACGATATAATCATGAGAGACGCCGTAGTGGATGCCTCTGGCAATTTTTACTATTTGGTGTGTTTTTTTTTAACGTGAACCGACATTGCACTGCACACGGGCCTCTATAGTAGTTCGCCTCCATCGAAAGACGACTGCCATTGCCAGAATCGAACCCGCAACCTTCCGATCAACGGCCGAGCACCGTAACCCTTGTGGTGGACACGCATGAACCTTTGTCCGGGAGGTCGTCGCTGCTACCGCTGGCATTGGTGTGTGCCAACGGTAGCAGGGGGGAGCTATACACTGACATAATAGAGAAGGGGCCCCTGCAATTCGAAAGGACAGACGGAAAGTGAGCCCCACGCATTGACATAATAGGCACAGGGCACTGCAACGAACCGCTGGCGCAATCGTGTGGCGAGTAGGGGTTGGGCTCTTTCCCGGAGCTGCTGAATCAGTGCTGGCTCAATCTTCAGCTCAAAGGCGCACGGGATTGCAAGATTTGGTTGAGCCGTTTTACTATTATTTTGAAAGTCTGAATTTAGGCGTAATATTTGTTTTGTTCAAAAATGCACATGCAGGTTTGCTTCGCGTCTGTAAAGTCCAGTAATGAGCGATGGTGAAGTCAACGAATCCAGCAGTCAATCAAAGGTCGGCCAGGCCTGAAGCCTGTTGAGCGAAGGTGACGGCGACGGCTTAATTGTAGACCCGCGCAGGTGCACTATAAGTCTGGGGCAGTTACATACTGGATTGGGGCGTCGCAAAATTATTTTTATTTTATTTTATTTATTTATATAAATAAAATAAATAAATAAATATAGATAGATAGATAGATAGATAGATAGATAGATAGATAGATAGATAGATAGATAGATAGATAGATAGATAGATAGATAGATAGATAGATAGATAGATAGATAGATAGATAGATAGATAGATAGATAGATAGATAGATAGATAGATAGATAGATAGATAGATAGATAGATAGATAGATAGATAGATAGATAGATAGATAGATAGATAGATAGATAGATAGATAGATAGATAGATAGATAGATAGATAGATAGATAGATAGATAGATAGATAGATAGATAGATAGATAGGGAACTTTATTAAGGTCCTGAAGAGCCAGCCGCTACAGTCCTACAGATGACCACTGGCGTGCTGTCGGCTAATCAAGCAAGACATTGACTTTTTTTTAGCAGAAAATTATTTGACACCAACTTTTTTGAAAAATACCCATTAATGAGTAATATTATGGAACTACCAGGACAACTAAGGGGCTAACGCTGTTTAGTGATCCACAGACTCCACGAGCACACCAAATCTTTGTCACTGTGTCTACTGATCTCAAATAAACCAATTCTGCAGGCTACGGCCACTTGGCCCCGTCGACGGCGTGGGGCCGCGTGTTCTGCGTGCTGTACGCCGTGGTGGGCGTCCCCATGACGGGCATCCTGCTGGCGGGCATCGGGGACCACTTCGCCCGAGGCATGGTGCGGGGCCTGAAGAGGGCCCGGGGACACCGGGCTCCGCGACTCGCGCTCGCCGCCAACCTCTGCACATTCCTGCTCCCCTGGCTGCTCGTGTTCCTGCTGCTTCCGGCCGCCGTGTTCATGTTCACCGAGGACTGGTCCTACCTCGAGGGACTCTACTACTGCTTCATCACGCTCGCCACCATAGGGTTCGGCGACTACGTGGCCGGTACGTGGCGCTGTTTGGAAGTTATAGCTGATCTCTTACATCATCTTGATTTCAAAGGCTGCATGTTCGATACATATACTGTAAAACTGCGCAATTATGAAGAGCGACAGCATATCATAGGGCATTGTTCAGTCTCCTGCCCCTTAGGTTCCGTCTTCTGTCCCATACTGGTACCCGGGAGACTTGTGTAACTTCGCAGCTAAAGTTCAGTGAGAATTAATTCGCTCACAATCCAGCACACTAGAAAGACACACATGGGACAAGCGATTGTCCCTTGGATGTCTTTCTAGTGCGCTGCGTTTTTGTTGCGTAAAGTAATTATTGTCAGTATGCAACAACTATGCCCTCAAAAGGTCTAAAAGTTAGTCTATACTGTGGGTCTCTGATGCTGAATACAGCAGGTATAGTTTAAGCTGTCGGTGCACGTTCATGATATACACATGCACGTGCGTTGTTCAAGTCTATCGAAAAATGCCGGCACTCCCTTCACCAGCGGATATATACCGTGTGGTTATCATATGCAAAAGACTGTGTATGTTCATACATCATACGAGATATGAGACTTCTCGATATGGTGTTACGGGACCCGTAAAAACTCATTCGTCAAATATAGAAGTCCTTCCTCTCATATTTTTGCCGAACAACATTACTAACTCCTCTTATTGACCAAAGATCGAATTTAATATATCAGCAGGCATATACATACGTACATTATAAGCAGTTATGTCAAGCGAATCGAGAGGCTATTATGTACCTGCAGTCTCCACCTTGATTCGAGCTGTGGCGCCAGGCCTTTTACATGTATGCACACTCGTTCTGGTTCTGCATGACATTTTCTGCCCAAGTCATCATCGGCACACTCTATACCGTTCCCTACCTTTAAATATTAGGCACGTACAGTTGTCCCAAAACACCCTTGTTTTTTTTATCTCTGTCTCTTTCTATAACTGACTAATAGCGACGCGAAGTTTCTGCGAGAAACTATGGCTAGAGCCTAGGAACATCGGCGTAAGCGATGCCCGATCATTCATTTGAAAGCGGTGCCACTTTTTTCTCGGAACCAAAGCACCATCTATTCTGCCCAGGTCTCTGCGTGCGTGTTGCACGGTTTCACTGTTGACTCGGTGAAGGTCTGTGTTTACAGGCTACGTCTAAGAAAAGCTAAAGAGGCTAGTTCTGCGGGGCAACACCCAGAGCCCACTGTCGCTTTCCCGTAAACATGACCATGACCCGAGGGTCCGAGAGGCCCGGCTTGTGAGTGTGACATCAACCGCAACAGCCACGGCAGCCACCACCGATTGATGTCCCTTGGATGAGGGCCTGTCCAATGAAAACAACACACGCACACTTCGTGGAACTATAGGCAGTACATACCGACTGTGTCCGGTTGCGAGCTGTATGGGGGGAAGATAGATTTTTTTTCTTTTGCGCGTGGGATGAGTGCGTACAGACACGCTGCTCGTCGGAGACCGGTCACCGAGCAAAAGGAGTGCGTCCCTGGCTCAATTCCAGAGGGTCCAGAATAGGCGACCGCTCGCGGTTACGTGTCCTCGCGATGCTTTGCGAGAAGAGTGGGAAGGGGAAGAGGCACTCCATTGGCAACACGAATGCCGGGCGGCGGTGTCCTTTGAAGCTTCGTTGCCGCACCGTCTGCGCGACGTGAGCGTCTGTTTCGTTGAGAACCGTCTGGTAGACGCCGTATTCGAGCAGAGTGCCATAGTAGAGTCACGCGCGTTTCCCAATCCTGCTCTCCTTCCGAGACCTTGGCCCCTACAAAGATGCATCTACTGCTATATCGGGTACTCCGCTCTGCGACGTTTTTAGAGCGGTATACCTCTCTCAGATTTGGGCATCGCGATAACGAGCGGTGTATACCCGGGGCACGAGTGGAATCAGACGCGGTTAAGAGAGACACAACGAATTAGAATACTAAACTCGATTCGTCACGCATAACACGGAGACGAAGGAGGTTAGCTTAATTATCTGTTGTACATTTTTTCTGGAATAGTGGGCAAGTTTCATGCCCTGGCCCACGCTCTTCGAATTAGAGCGATGGCGCCAACCTGGGCCACAGGTACGACCGGTGACAGGAAAATTGATGACGGAAGACGGTTGATGACCGTCGGTGGAATTGTGGCCCAAGTTGACCTACTGAAGAGCACATCTTGTTATCAAGGGTCTCCATGTTAATGCGCGCCTTCCATCCTTCGTTGAAGGAACGAAGGAAGGATTGCAGAGTAACAGTACGAAACACGTTGTGGATGCACGAGGTTAGCTTAAATTTCCAAAGTGGCTCAGGCTGAGAGGCACCGTAAACGAGTGTTCCGAATAATATCGACCAAAGGGGGTTCCTTAACGCGCACCAACGCCGCGCAGTTCGTGGGCATGACGCGTTTCGCATCCACTGAAAAGCGACGTGCCTCGGCCGGGATCAAGCCCGCGTCTTTAAGATCGACAGCCGAACACCGTAACAAGACATTCCGGTGTCCTAAAGATTAAGGAGAAAAACGAGGGCTCTTTTTCCAGTATACTGCTGTAGTCTGCGTATAAATTTTAGTGCCCTACATGAGGGAACTAATATAAAATCTCAAAAGCTTGGTAAGCTTCTTGTTGGGTCTGTATTTTAGACCACCAAAGAAGATTCTAAAGGTAAGGGTGTGCGAACGTGGCCACTAGAAAGAACTTAAAACAGAACAGAGACCACAGACACAGTCAAGACACCTTGACTTATTTCTAGTGTCTCGATTTGCACGCCCTGTGTTTTAGAATGAGTACTTACCAACTATTCCACCTTTCTGTTGTCCTAAACCAACATGCGGTCCCGACGAGGACTGAGGACAAGAAGAAAGGACACACCAAGATGTGCTGTGGTGTATTCTTTCTTCTTGCCTTCGTAGTGGAGGTGATATCGTCCTCGTATATGTCGTCCTCGTGTATGGGATGTCCTCGTAGTCACGTAATAGTAGTTCTGGCACGCTAGTATTACATTTCGCTTTTCAGCATTCAACATACACACGAACAATAAACAAGAGGGATATAGACAAGCGAGCAGATCATTACTTCTGATTTAAAATTTTTATTCAGTTCATGGTTTTAACGGTGCGAGCTGAGTTTTGCGACCAAACCCAGTAGAATAGTTTTGTATTGTCCGCCGTCGCTGACTCTTCTGCAATCTGAGTTGATGCAGGCAGCTGCACAAAACACAGTTTCATCGAGGGTTTTCATCACTTTCGGGTGATCACTTTCCCTTCTTGGTACTATATTTATCGTAGCCGACTAAACAAGCTCGTCTCGTTCTTGATTTCGCTTTCTCTCGACCAATGTGTGGGCTGCTGTATTGTCACTTGGATTGGCCTGTGCTATCACGTGACGGTTTCACACATTTTTAATCAGCGTCACTCCAACTCGTAGACAGTGATGACATGGGCCTTTGGAGAACAGATGCGAATCGCACAGCGACACCCCTGACCCACGCTTTTGTTGCTGACTAGTTCAAAGGTGCTGCTTGCACTGGCCGCAGAAAGGGACGTGAACTTGCGTTGGACCAGTGACATGAAGCCTTAGCTCAGTTACCAATCTACGAGTCTGTTTCGCAAACACAGTATACTTTAAAGCATCTCGAAAGCATTCTTCTCACATCCGCTCAATGGACATGTCACTATCTGCACGCGATCCCCCGATGCTACACAGATGGTCCCATTGGAAACACAGCACCCGGTTTTCTGAAACTGAAGCCTGAGGTGCCGCATGGTCCTTTTACGCAGCCTTGGGGGTAGGCCCAAGACTTTGCGAAGCGGTTGTCGTTTCTAACAATCGAAAATTGCTGCCCGTACACACACGCGCGACCACCGCATCCACTGGCGCGTGGCTTGACCAGCAGTGTCCGTCTTCCTGCGCGCCCTTAGGCCAAGAGCAGTCGTCACAATTGTCTAAACGTGGAGTAAATTAGGCGAACGAGCACTTGCGCAATGTTTAATGGTGGTTCTGGTCTGTACACTGGACACAAAATCATGACGTGTATGCTAGTGACAAACATTTCAAGTTCGTGTGTTAAGTTTCCCGTCCTCCGTTCTTTCAACTTTGATTTAGCATGCTGGTTACTGCCGTAAGTGCAATGGAGATTAATGTGCAGACAAAGAGCGTAATGCAAACGCAGAACAAACGTTGGTAGGACCCTTAAGGCTATGTTCCAGTAGGTTTACTTCTTTCTTGATCTATGCCCTATTCTTGACCCTATTTCTCCATCTGTTCATATTTCTTGTGTGCCGTTCTTCTCCACACTGCAGCAGCTAGCGGTGAACTCATCACTGGCTCGTTTCTTTGTGTGCCATGCGTCCAAAGTGGTAGTTTGGTGAGAATTCATTTCCTCTTCAAATATTACTCTCAAAGTAGAAAGAAACTGCAGAGAAAAATGAAGGAGCTTGGAAATACAACTATCAAAGAAACTCCGTCAGTGTGGTTGGCAACCTCCGCTTTTGCTGCCGGGATGTTAATTGTTAGCCATTGGTTCACAAAGACCATGCTTTTTTTTTTAAAAAAGAAACTGTGGATTAGGATTCGGGCATGCAGAAATGTCTGATTCTTGCGTTACGGTGACTTCAATCATCAACCTGCGACGATTCTTTCTGAACGAGCCACTGCAACGAAATTTCGTTTTGGTTAAGTTTGTTGTCAAGTGTAGCATATACGTCACTAAAACCATCTCGGTGAGGCCATAAGGCTTGTAATGGTATAGTTTTTTTTTGTCAGCGACCATTAAACAGCACATGAACAAACTACACGCGCACCAGGTGGTTGTCGCTATGACGTGGGCCCAGGCACGACGCCTCCAAGATTTCAGGCTTTTGGGCTGAGTTGGTCCGGTACGTGGCAATGAAGCAGTGCTGAAGACGACGGAAGGGGACAGGACGAGGGCGTGCCCCTCTCCCTGCCCTCTTCCTTGACCGCGTGTTGTGAGCAGTGTGGCTTCATTGTACGAAGGCTCCGAGGTGCTTGATCAC